AAAGTAGTTCCGTTCTTTTCTATTTTTTTTTTTATATTTTTATGATATGCGCGTTGAAATTGTCATTACTTTATTATTTTGTTTTAGTTGTTTAAGACGGTAGACCTCGTAGACCGTGACGTCTCAATTCATAGTCTTAACTTTTTTTTCAATTTTTTATTTTTAATGATCCGCTTAAAATAATTTTTTTTTCTTCTCATATAAGAAAGCATTTAATACAGGAAAAATTATAAAAAAAATAATATTGAATTTAAATAGATTAATGATCAATTTCTGGTGAAAAATAAATTCAAAATGGGTGGTCGAAATCATCTACTAATATTTTCACATAATATAATATGTATGTATATTATTTACTAAAAATAAATTGGTAAATAATATGAAATTAAAAAATGAAAATATTAAAACACCTACAATTATACAAACGGAAGTTAAATTATAAAAAATGAATGAATCCCGTAAATTTCAATTAGATAAGGTGGTCCTATAGTACGTGAGTATATTTGTGGAATTTACATTTTATTATATACTTACATGAGTGACTGAATGTGAACTCATAAATCACAAATGTGCAACGCAATAAAATACAATGATAATAAAGTTTGATAGATGCATACAAAGGCAAAAGGCGTAGAATCAAAAAATTGCAAAAATTCCAAAATTTTTTTTGAATATCATACAAGAGAAAATAGTGTATTCGGCAAAATACCATAGAAGATTTTTTTTAAATAATTATGACAGGTGTTTTACACTTTATTAAACTACAATCTGTATTTTTCTCAACCATAATGAAAATTTTATCTGATTTAGAAAAAAAAAATTAATTTTTTGAATTTATTATTTGCACTTTAATAATCCCAATTAACTCTATCAACACATCACTTCTAATTCTTACATCCTATTAATTTTACTGTAATCTTTATTTTTGTTTTTTATTTCATGGAATATATAAATGAGTGCTTTCATAAATATAAAACAAAAATTTTTAATTCTAATAAAATTTTATACATAAATATGAATTTTAAATAACGTATGTATACATAATTAAAAATATCATTATTGTTTTCAGGATTACCAATGCATATTATAACAGACTTGTGAAAAAAGTGCATTCATACTTATAAAAGTCGATTACAAGAAAGCAATAAAAGCCTAATTCTAACTCAACCCAAGAACTAGGCTGGTTCTCAACGTACATTAGTAAAAATCGCAAAAAACGAAGCTGATGCAGGATTTATTGACCTATGAGTACCTAGATCACAAGCGATGATTTAAATAGATCACAAGTGATGACTATAAATAAGTGACATACAAAATATATTAATTTGTTCGAAAGTATTCAGGCAAGCGGCACCTTAATTTACATTGTAGGGAAAAACGCTGATATAATTGAACATTAAATAAATAAGGATATATTAAATTTACACATGTGCATGTGTATGAATAAATTAATGTTGAGCATCTCAAAAACAAAAGTTATGTGTGTGAATGTTGGAAACATTTACTAATAAATATAAAAAATGTAAACTAAAAAGGGAATGGTTCGCTAAATCGTTTAGGAAATCACATATCGTCTGATATATGCATTGGTACTGCACAGGCAAGCTGCTGATAATCGCAATGATATTGGAGAATCACGAAATTTTTTTACCTGGAGGAACGTATGAGCTTCTTACTCAAAATTATTTGCCATTTAATACATTGAAAAAGAAAGACTTTGACAACACTCGGTTTAACTTCAATTACTTTGATACCATTTGGAAACTTTTATAATTTTTCTGAAAAAGATTTATTTTTGTGTTTTGTAGATATATGTAGCTATTTATGCTCTAATAGATTTCATTGCTATTTCATTTACATACACAATTTTCTCTGTTTGGGCGCTAATAATTTTAATTCACACCAACAACAAAAACTGATATTATATAATAGCAAAAAAATTATAATTTAGTTAACATAAACCGTCAGCTGCTGTGATTTTTACATTTCTACCAATCTATAAAAAAAATTTTTAATTCTTTATCCAAGCTAATATAATTTTTCTCACTCCTGCATAAATGAAATATTTGCGCTCATACTTTATAGTTTCCCAAAGAAATTGTTCTCGTATAATTGTATGTGTTTTCCTAGCAAAAAAAAAAATTCATTACAAACGAATGGGAAAGAGTAATGAAGAAGCAACGCATTGAAAATGATTTTATTTTCAAAAAAAATTTTGTTACATGTAATTTGGTTTTGATTCTTTTCTTTAGTTTTTCCGCCTTAAAAAATAATTTCGTTAACTAATAATCTAAATGCATATAAATTTTATTTTTTGAATTCATGCAAATTTGTTTTTCATTCTGATTCAATCTGGTATAATGATGGGCGGAATGGTTTACTATATGAGTTAAGGTGATATGCCGATTGTATTTTGTAACAAAAAATGAAATTCTATTTTGTATCAACCACAAAAATATTTTCTCTGATGCATTTATGAATAATGTTCATTTATTTATCATAATAATTTATGTTGCACATGCCATTAATAATTTATTTTGATGTTTAATAGCACTATATTATTCATTCATGAATATTGTATGGAAGAAATATTTTGCATAGTTCTTTATTTTAAAAATTTTTGTTAAAATAATAAAATTTGTGGAATTTTTGAATATTAATAATAATATGCATTTGTATATCGTCACCTTGCATATATTATTTAGATTTAAATTTTATATATTTATATTTTGAGAATTTTTTAGAAAATGTGAAATGGCAATAAGTATGCATTATCATATAAGTAATGAATATTATTTTAAATCATGAAAGTGATCTGAGAGATCACTTGGCACGTTCAACTTTTCTGTATCACTACTCTTTTAAATTTGCTCCTACATTCTCAAAAACAATCTTGTTTATTCAAAAGATTTTTGTAATACGCTTGGTTTCCAAATGTTATGTTTTCAAAAATAAGTTCAAGCTAGAACTGAGAACATATTCAATTTTGCTTCAATTACATTTTACAATTTTTTATTATCCTTCTCGATTAGCATTTATTATTCATCGGAAAAATTATTTTCTTGTTTAATTTTTGATTTGACCCTAAATTTTAATTTCTTAAAATTTCTTCATAATTCACCATCTTTCTTTAATTAAGATGAAGTAATAAATTATTCAAGCTATCAATTTATAAGAATGGTACAAAAAGAAATTAAAATGAAAATCATAATTTGATATAAATAAAATTTTAAGAACAAGATTCAATTTTTTACCGTACAATTTAGAAGAGTCCATAATTTCCGTTTCATTTAAAATGTTCTTAGAATTGCATAGTATTGGAAAAATAATAAATTTTCATTTTTATTACAATTTTATTAATATTTTCCAATTTTTTATTCCCATTTTTTTTTTTCAAACTCTAAAATAAATAATATCCTATTATTTTTATTTCAAATGCAGATGATACGCTTGTTGTAAGTACCAATTTACATGAACAAAATTATATTGAGTGCTGATTTAAAATTTCACAGTACATAGTTCAAAGTCTACTTGGGTTTAAAGTCTATTAAAGAGTTTACTACAGACTAAAGTCTGGAAAGAGTTTTCTACTAAGTCTACTGATTTCAATCTTGTCTTGTGATCAAAACTAGTTTTATTTGTTTTTATGTGCAACGCGCACTTCGGGCTGTAAATTTCTTTTAAGAAATTAAAAGGCATTTTTGAGAACTTAGAATCAAATTGTTTTAAAATCACAGAAGTTATTTTTTCTCGTACTGATTTCTTGTAAAATAAGACGAATTCAAATTGATTGCTTTACTCCTGGTTAATTTGAACGTGCGAATGGAATAGTTATGTAAATTACCATGTACTTAAATACATTAAGCTATAAATTTCTTGCCACATTCTTCTCGAGTTTCATGCTTTTATTTACAACTCATGTGTATGTATATGGTTACATTCTTACATTCATATACAAATATTAACGTAATGCAATAATTTATGTTGGATAACACTTTCTTTTTTATTTTCTTTTCTAAAAATACCGCCGTTCCTTGTAATAAAAATAATTATTATTATTTATAGTTTTAACTCTAAAAAATAAAAAAAAACTAAAATGAATTTTATTACCAACATGGTAATTACTCAACAAAAATACATAAAAATTAGAGTTTCTAATAAACAACACATGGAAAAAAAATTTTTTCTTTGGATTTTTACGGCTTTCCTGTTCCCGTACTATATAGAAAGAGAGAAAATAATGTTTTTTTGTTTTAATGATTTATGAAATGCGAGTGTTGAATACAATTTTGTCGAGTGACATGAAAATGTTTAGGCAAGAATTAATTTTTTATCGCTTTATTTCATGTTATAAGAACCAGAACGGAAAAATAACTCGAAATTTTTAGATCATAATGTACTTTATACCCAATCGAATTTGTTATTCGATTATATCGAAGAGCAGAAATAACGAATCCACTCTTTGTAATGACAAGTTTGCTAAACAAGTTTCTTTTAAGTTTTTAAAGCGACAATTTTGGGCATTAAAAATTTGGCACAGTTTTTACATATGTGTTGGCCAGAATCATGCTTTTGAAATATGAAGAAGTTTAGTAATTATAACACTTGCATGCCAGAGTGAGTTAAAAAATTTAATTTTATTTTTATGTGATATGCTCTTCTTTTGATTTATAAATTTTTGCAGTAGCAATGAAAAAACTTCTTTTCATCGAAAAATTTCTTCAGAACTTTAAGCAAAACTGTTATATTCCTACACGCTACTTTTGCAGAATTTGCTGTTCAGATTTATCGAACATGCTCTATATTAAGACCTGGTAGCTACTTTTTGGGTTATTCGAAAATAATTTGACATGATAAATTCTAAATTTCTAACCGTCTGGCGAATTCAATTTGCTTTCTTTCAAACAACAGTTCTGAAATAGTATTTGAAAATATTTAAATTAAAAAAATTATTTATTTTAATTTTTTAAATTAATATATTTTTATATTTTATTTCTATTTTTTTGTTTTTTTTTTATTTGTTTTTTTTTGTTTGCTTTTAATTTATAATTTTTGGGAGAGAAAATAATAAAATAAAGTTTAAAAATCAAGACTCGGTACAAGTTTTCTGTCAATTTTTTTTAACTTTTTTGCAATAATTGATTTTTTTTTATTTCATATTTATTTTATACATTTACATAATATTTTTCTTTTCTGTATTTTGAATTAAATAATTTATGATTTTCTGTTTTTCTCTATTTTAATTTAATATTTTTATTTTATAATGTGAAATATTCTTTTGCTTTATATTTGTAAAATTTTATGGTCAAATGTTTACATAAATTACAAGAATTGTTTTATTATATTTTGTTTTATTTACTGTTATTAGCTTTTAAATTTTTCCAAGTTGTTTTTTTTATCACGAGCTTTTAAATGTTTATTATTTTTTATTTTTTTTTGTCTGAAGAAACGAAAAAATCTAAGAAAAATAAAATTTATTTCTAAATTTTTTTTATCTTTTAATTTTACCGTCATTATATGTATATATAGAATCAATTTTATAATATAGTTTATTAATTTGAATATTTTTTATGACAGCAGCTTTAAATAGTTGCTATATTACAGTTATAATATTTTATATAATATGTATATTTGTGGTAAATATTCATAAATTAAAAATTTAGGAGCTTCCAATTAAATCTGCCGTCATATATAAAAACTAACTAAATTTTATGATGGTGTGAAATAAAATCATATGTTGTAAAGCACAATAATATAATACGCCATATCGGAAATAAAAACAAAATAAGAAGGGTGACAATTGTCTTCTAAATATTTAAAATAGTTTTTTCATAAAAAAAAAATATTGCAACAAATAATCCAAACGCATTTATTAAACAGTAACAGTAAAAATAAAATAAAAAGCACTCCTAATTGTTTTTGCAAGTTCATGTCCTTAATACTTTTTGGGTTGATTGTGCAGTATAGTAAGTGTTGCATTATAAATGAGTGAAATTTCAACAAAATATATTTATATATAATTATAACTAAGCTCAGAAAAATAGAAAATATTTAAAGAAAAGCTCATGTTTTTGGTTCAAGCGCAAGTTCACACCTTCGTTGAACCAGTGCATAGCCTAAATTTCGTTTATTATATTTTAATATTATTTTATTTTAGTTCATATTATTTTATTTCACACCATCAAGCGTTTTTTTTTAACATTCTATACTTCCCATCTATACTTTTTTTTTATTTAATTTTTACTTTAATAATTACGTCAGTCCACGAAATTTATTAAATCTTTAGAAAATAAATTTTGGTTTTTAGATTCCTATAAATGGATATACATACATTATATTAATTAATTTACATACATGTACATACATAATTACTTTTTTTTAATTAAATAATTACAGTAATTTCCATATAATTACATAATTAATTATTTTATAATATTTAAAAAAAAACATTTATTTTTTATTTGCTTAATTTATTTCAAATTCACACCCTGTTTCATGAAGATTTTTTTATATCTTCCTTATATTCTTTATAAAATATAAAATTAATTATCAAAAAAAATATTGAGAAACAACAAATAAAAAAAAATTTATTAATTTATATATCAAATGACATTATGAAAGTCATTTTGAGAATTAATTTTTACTGTTATTTATTGTAATATTTGATTATTAGTAAAATATTTTATAAACAGCAACATTTTTATCTTCGATCATTACTATTATTTTGATTTAACTATTATGGATGCATACTGGGTGATGCACCTAATCTCGGTCCATATAATGAATATGGTGAAAAGTATTGAGCTAATGATGGATGCGGTGGCATACCAGCAGCCGATAAGCTTGCAGCAAGTGATGGTGGTCCTAATGATGGCGGTAACATGGACGGTTTACCATATGGATGATACCTAGCTGATGATAATGGACTCAATGGCGGTGTTGGATATGTTCTTTGAAATAATGGATGATTTGGAGGGAGACCAGTTGCTGCAACAGCATTTAACATTGATTCAGACATTGATGCCGTATGTGTTCTTAAATGTTGAAATAATTCATCGGACGTACCAAAACGTTTACCACAATATGCTGAATCACCTGCAATCCAACTGCATACATATGGTAATTGTGATGCAGCTGCTAAAGCTGCTAGTTGAGCATGAGCATATGCTGCTGCTGCACTACTATGTGATTGATATGATTTACTTGCTGCGGCTGCCGCTGCTGAAACAGAAGCAGAATCACATTGTGTGCAACCAGCTGGGCATGGTTGACCAGTTGCCTTATTCATAACATGTGGACTCATTGGACAACCTGTACAATATGGATCACGACAAACAGGTGGCATCATACCAGATGCTGCAGCAGCAGCAGCGGCTGCTGCTGCTGATGATGATGGATCTGAAGCACCTTTTAAACGTGCATAATTAAAATATGGACTAAGGGCAGCAGCTTTAAACATTGGATGATGTGGTGACATTATAGCACTTGCTGCCATTAAATCCATCGGGTAATTTGCTAAACTAGGTGGGTAACCAGGTGGAAAATATGATGGTCCACCCGACATTGAACTAGATGAATTCATTTTTGAAGCAGAGGATGCAGCGGCAGCCGCTGCAACAGCTGCTGCTGCTGATTCTCGTTGATGATTTGATCCCCCAATGTTATTTGAAGCTGTTGTTGGAGTTGTTGTTTCTTTGGATATATCATTTGGTAATCTATTTGGATTTGGACTATCACGTGGTAAACTATTATTTGAAGAGTCTTTTGATGTTGTACGCTGTAACTGATGTGGACTGGTACTATTATGTTGTAATTGTTGTAATGCTACAGATTGTTGACTGTTACTTAATGGAGTTCGACTATTATTTGATGTAGCACCATTCATTATTGCGGGTGAAGTGTCTCTGGTCTGTGATGTGGCACTTTGGTTTGAATCGCATCTTTGTTGTTGTTGCTGTTGTTGCGTTAAATGATGGCCATTATATTGATTATTTTGTTGACTGTGCTGAGATTTCGGTGTTTTGACTCGAATAGATTGATTTATTGAATTATTATTATTATTAATATTGTTATTATGATTAGCTCCTAAATTTGATGAGGATCTTTCTTGTAAATCTATTGTTGTTGTTGGGGTGTGATTTGATCTTTCATGTAAATTAAGTGGTGATAATTCATATGGCTTAAAACTAGTTTTGATTTGTTGATGTGGCTGCTGCATTTGTATATGATGATTATCATTCGATCCGGTTGAAAGTGATGATTGATTACTATTTGGTGACAATTTATCTCTAGAATCTATTGAAGTTTTATGTGATTTTGCTGATTTTTCTATATTGGCCAATAATTTTGGATTTGGTGAATCGGAACCAATTGCACTACACGTCTGTGCTAATAAGGCCAAGGGACTATTTTTAGCGTCCAACTGAAAATAGAAACAAAGAAAAAAGAAATTTTGAAATTATTTTTGTTTAAAATTTTCTTATTTCGAATTTAATATGTAGAGACTCGGTGCTTCTAAGTTTTCAAGTAAAAAATCTATATATTTATAAGTTACTTTTGTTATAACAGTAATTACAATTTAAAAATAATTTTTTTTCTAAGCAGAATATTTTTTTTTCCAAATTAAATTTTCAGGTTTATATTTTTGCTGCACTCAAAATCAATCATACTGACACACAAAGCAAAATCAAATATGTACTCAAAATCTGAATATTTAACAAAAAATAAAAAATATTTTGAAGAAAGATGCAAGATTGTACACAAGATTTAAAGTGTTAAAAAAAAGTGATAAGTGTTGACACTTCATATAATTTGTGACGCTCAAGATGCCAAATAGAAATGTTTTTTGTGTTCTACACTTTTTTTTATGTGAAATAAAACACTTTAAAATTATTTCTTTTAATTTATAATTCCTTTACATTCAAAAAAAAGAAAAAACACTAAAAAAGATCAAGAAATAAGAAGAAAAAAAGCTAAAAGAAAAAAAACAAAAGATGAAGATAAAGAGAAGAATCTGACACTTTTAATTACAGTGAGCAGCAGAATTGAGAAATTTATTTTTTGGTAAATAAAATTTAATATTTCTTTTTTTTTTTTTACCATCTCAAAAAGCGTTTTAATGATCCATAAATGATGACATAAAGAGTATTTATTTCAGCTGTATGTTGTGTCAGAAATAAAGTTTTTTTCTTAGGATGATTGACGTCTTTTGGTGGAATACGAGTACACAAAGTATTTTTAAACAAATTTTGAATTTTTTTTTCGTAAAGCAAAGTGAGTGTATAATTATGTATAATAAAAATTTAAAATATTTCAAAAGGATTACAATGTTAACAATTGTTTAATTATAGTTACATATGTATGCCTGTTGCAATTGAAAATGTCACACTTCAAAACTGATATGTTAAAGTATATCGTAAATTAAGCGGCTAAATTGATTAATACTGTTTAGTATTGAAATTGTACAACTGAAAAACCGCTTTTCTTTTATAAATTGACAGTCGGCAAACATTAAAAAACTATAAAATTTGCTTATTTTATCAGCAAACAAAAATTTTTTAAAATTTTTTCAATTATTTCAAATTAAGTATTTTGTTTATTTTTTTTTGGTGAAACGGAATAGAAATTAAAACATATAATAAAATAAAAATGTTGATTGAAAATAATAAATACATAATTTATTTGTTAAAAATAATTACATATGTATATTATTGTATAATTAGATTTAGAAATGAAATTTTAATAGAATTTGGCTATTATATAGAACATGCATATATAGCGGTCATTATTATAGCTAAAACAATAATTACGTTTATCGTAAAATCGTATTCTCGTAGCATCCTTACGAATACTGTCATCTATTCTAAATTATTCTTGCAAAATTATTTCTATATTCTTATTATTCAATATACTTCTATTACAAATCTTTGATCAAAATTGTGTGCTTTCGATTTCACAAAAAAGGTAAATAATTTTTTAATGTAAAATTTAAATAAATGACCGCCGGCGTTTGGGGATATTTCAACAAAATTTCAGACCACTGAAAATCAATAAACATTTTAAAGAGCAGTTTTCTGCACTAATTCCAAACTCTTATATCAATAATGATAAAGGCTGAAAATTCATAAAAAAATTAATTAAGTCATTTTATATTATAAATTAACAGTAATTTGTAAACAACATTTACCTAAATATACATATGTACATCATAACGAATACCTACACACTTAAAACATGTGATTGTGATATATAATATTTAATTTATTATTTAAAAAATCTTTTAAAATTTCCGCTCATTATTATTTTTTTTTGTTATTTCAATTCTTCTTAATTTCCAAATTCGATATGACATTTGATATAATCACAGATAATATTGTTATAATATTATTCTTCTTTATTAACCGTCTATACCACAAATTCAAAAAATTATTTATTTTATTAAGCCATTGTTTACAAACGAACACAAACGAAAAATTTATTGTCAAAAAAAAAAAATTCAAATGTCAACAGTAAAACAACACTTAACAATTATTAATTTTTTTTGTAATATTTAATATTTAACGAGAGCATAATTGAGAATGGAATATTATAGTTTTATTAAATTTAAATACAAAAACTGAAAAATTTTAAGAATTAAATAAGGAAAATGTCAAGACAATAAACTCAAATCACTACCGAAACTGAATGGGATCATTTGAAATTTAAATAAAAAAATTTTTTTAACCGAATGGTGTTTTTCTCTTTTCTTTTGTTTTCTTCTCTTTTTTAATGCGTATTTATTTTTTTAAACAAAAGACTAACAAACAAACAAAAACTCATAAATTTATTTGTTTCAAATTGTTTTATTTATTTTTTTTTTGATGATTTTTGTGTGTGGTTTACTTTGCTTTTATTTTCACTCTTTATAATTTTCCTAATTTTTATTATAGATGATAAATTTTATTGGAACGAGAATCGACCTCGAAAAAAAATATGATACATATTTAAAATATTTGGAATTAATTTACTTTGGTCACAATATTAAAAAAAATTATGTAGATATGAATAGGAAAATTATTAAAGAAATTGTACAAAAGATTCTTGAGAAAAGAAATTGATTTTAACTTAATCAAAGTATGCCTCTGGAAATGCTCCACTAAAAGAAACAACACAGAAATAGAAATTCTGCTTACATAATTACTACAGATGGAGGAGGTGCTGAAAAAGACATGGAGAGTTTATAAAATGGAGTTTTGGGAGAATCTGGAGAGTCTAGAGACGGGAACGCCACTTGGCTCGGGGAACAAAAATAGAAATATTCAACAACTGCGTAAAATCGGTAGTCTTATATGGAATTTAGATCTAATCTAAAAAAGAAAAAATGTACAAACAAAATGCAAGTGTTCATAAACAAATACCTGAGAAATATAACTAGGACGTTGTAGCCAAGAATCATCAGCAACTCTAGGAGATGACAGGGCAAGAACCCATAGAGATCTAAATAAATAAGATAAAATGAAAATTAATTAGTCATATTCTCACAAGGTCAATGAATAACATTCAAAGGAAGTCCCTGGGGTGAAAACTTGGCAGACCGAAGGAAACGTGGTACAGATCAGTTAACGAGTAATTAGAAGACAACTGCAGAACATAGATCAAAATAAAGTTACTAGAAACGAACTAGAAACTCAATTTTTATCTGAATCATTACTTAAATTCTGCCCCTAAATATATGCAATTTTTTCATACATGTTTTTTGTGTGTGTTTTTTTAAACGACTTAAGCAATTTTCTATATTCATAATTTCAATTCAACGCATTTTGATTTTTGAAAACCTAAATGAGTATCAGTTTTTAATTTACTTTATTGAAACAAAATGTGCTACTTTACAAACCGTTAGGTTTAATGGTCCGTATATTTCCAAATTTTAAAATTAGTTTTGGGTAAAAATTCAATGATCAAATAAAGTAGAAATAAATTATATTTAGAAACTATATGGCATGTGACCTATGATAGTCGCAACTATTAATAAATAAAACTAATAATATGTATACTATGTTCTATGTATATATCGTAGTATATAAATATGCATTTAAGTACGGTATAAGTGGAACTCAAATGATTAATAATGAAACATTTGCTTCACTGAAAAAAAATTTAAATATTTTTTTATGTTTTCGTTTCTGGCCGAAAAATTAGCTGTCAATAAATTATGATTAAATTTAAATTTTATTCATCTGTTTCGTTGTTTTTATATTATTTTTTGTTTTTTTTTTTTTGTATTTTTCATGGCATTTTGTAAAGCCATTTTAATTCGAATTTATTAAGAAATATTTCTTTTTTCATCATTTATTTATAATTTTTTGGGTGCTTTTGAATGAAATGAATTTCTTTATTTTTTTTTTAAATAATCTGATAATAATTTAATGGATTTATAAATTGAAATGATCGTCATAAAAAGCTCATTTTAAGAGGATTTTTTAAATATTTTTTTTATTTTTTCATTTTAGTCGGAGAGTATAAAAAATGGAAAATTTTTTTTTTTGTTTTAATAAACGAAATATTAAAATGCGTTTTTTTTTTTTATTTATTTGAAATTTATACGGTAGCGTTCCTTTTGTTACTTATTATTATACATAACAATGTGTATGTATGTACGTTTGTAAGCTTATATAGGTATACTTTTGTATAAATTTTGTTAATTTTAATCGCTGACTGTAGAGTGAAATCGCAAATGAGTTGATAAAATTTGACAGTAATGGCGGTAAGGCCATAATTTTATTTTTTTTTAACTTTTTGTTTTATTTTCTGGAGCATATACGGTTTAAGCATATTTTTAACGCTTTTTAATTGGAATTTTTGAAACAAAAATTTATGATAATTTGATTATATTGACTATTTTAAATATATGTATGTTTATATAGTATGGTTATTGTTTTAACTGAATTTGTAATTATGTGCATGCAGTGTTATGTAAATCTGCATAAATATAATTTCATAAATTCTTTTATGTGTGTGAGGTTTGAGTAGTATAAGGACTATATGGAATGATGAAGGTTATCAATAGATAATATATACATATATGTAATATATAAAAATTGAAATTGAAGAATATGTTTATAAAGTAGAGGATTTGATCATCCCTGATCGATTTTCTGAGACATTGATAACAATAGAGTGCATTCAATTTAATGAAATGTTTACTTACGCATTTAATATAATTTCTTTGTTAAATGCATATAATTGTCTTATTAAATAAAAGAACAATAAAAAATATTCATAACTTCGCAAACAGAACTTCAATCATTTGAATTTGATTCGTGAATGACAAGAACAAAGTTAAAACACATCAGGTAATAAATCAAAACTTTTAATAATGTTGTCACGTTAATTAAATATTAATGTAAAATAGTGCTTGTATTACATATTTCTAGGGTATTTCGA